CTATTTCTGTACCTTGAAAATACCCAAAGTCATTCTAAATAAGGATTTTACTACGTGTGTGTGTGTGTGTTTGTGTATTGAAAGTGACCCAAACATACTGTTAAAAAGTAAAATTTTTAGAATTCTTAGAGGCAAAGAAAAGCATTTATCCTATATTGTCAGATATGTTTACCTGAGAAAATAACTATGAAGACAATGCATGATATAATAACATTGCAGATAAAATGTATACATTCATATTTACATATGATGGCTGAAAGTTTATATTACTATGCATCAAGTTACAAATACAATACTTTGGTGTGTTCTCTAATTTTTCTAAACAAAGCTCATTACTACAACTCTTTTAAAATAGTTTACTTATTGCTAATTAATATTATGTACAAAATAATGTGTTCTGTCATTTTTATATATGCGTGCAAGTACTTCCATCATATTTAAGCCCCTGTTACCTTTTGTTTTGTCCCTTTGTGTTCATAGTGATCTCCCTCCAACTGAAAAATCCATTTATTCTTTCATGTCTTAACAAACATGTGGTGTTTGTCTTTCTGCTAGTTTATTTTATTTAAAATAATGATCTATGTATCCATTAATTCCTCCAAATATTCTGAAACCAATTAAATAAAGCAATCTGGCTTCTGGTCACAGAAATATGTCTACCTCTGCCTCTCTAGTGTCAAAATTAAAGACATGAACCACCTCGCATGGCCAGGATTGTGTTCTTTGAGTTGAATTAAATTTTGCATTTTTTTGTGATGGCTAAAAGTGAAAATATCAATGACTTGATGATCTATGTGGTAAGAATTATAAATAAATCTCTATGCATTATTGATTATTTATTCATCCTGTTCTGTGGTGATATCTTGCTTGTACAAATAAAGCCTGTCTGAAGGTCAGAGAATGGAGGTTGCCACTAGCTAACCATAGAGGTCTGGAGGACTGTACAGACAGACAGGAAGTGAGATATCTGGGTGGAAACAGGACATAAGCAGGGAGAAACAGGAACTTGATCTCTTGTCTGCTGAGACACTAAGAAGGTTTGCTGTGGCTTGCTCCTTCAAATTTTTTTTGCATTTTTAGACAAATATGTGTATTTCCATTTCTGAATAACCACACAGACAAATCCTGTATAACAATATTCAGGGAGTAGGGGGTATTATTTCCATCATCTACTATATTCTTTTATTTCAATTTTCCTTTTTAATTGATTACTTTTTTATTTAAAATGTTTTTCTTATGTAAATTTTTATTTAACTTAGAAACAAACTTATATTTATCTATCGATCCCAGTTCCCTCTCCTTCCCATCTTCCCATTACCCCCACCAACCCACCCTTCCCACCCCATTCACTCTTCAGGGAGAGTGAGGCCTTCAATGGGGATCATACAATATATTGTATTCATATATTTGCCTGTCTCAACTCCTCCAAGACCTTCCCACCTCCTTACCTACCCAACTTCATGTTCTTTTTCTTTAAAAAAAAAACAACCAAAAGACTAAGAAAAGCAACAGAAAAGGAAATATCAAAACAAAAATTTAAAAACAAATAAAAGAGAAAAATATTAAAAGAAAACAAAAAGTACACAAAATTTGAGTTCATTTAGTGTTGGTCAACTACTCCTGTACATGAGGCCTACCATGAAGTGTGGTTGAAACTCCCAGGGACATTCTATTGGAGAATGGTCTTTTTTCTTCCAGCAGGTATGAATTGCAAATAGCCTATTGATTGGCTTTCCCCAGTTCCCCTTCTCAGTGTTGGATTTTGTCTGGTTTGAGCCTATGTAGGTCTTATGCATGCAGTCATAGTCTCTGTCAGGTAATATATATGACACTGCTTCCTTAAAGATTCCTACCACTTCTGGCTCTTACAATCTTTCATCTTCCTTTTTATGAACCCCTGAGACTTCAGGTAAGGGGTTTGATGAAGACATGCCATTTAAAGCCAAGTGATCCAAACAAAGTCTTTCACTCTCTGCACATCGTCTAGTTGAAGAGTCTTTGTTAATTCACATTTATTGGAAGAATCTTCTCAGATGAAGGCTGAGGGCTCTGATCTATGGGTATAGCAACATGTCGTTATTTTATTGCTATGTTCCTTTAGAGAAATAATAGTAGTAGATTTTCCCTAAGGCCCATGACCTATTTAGTCTTAAGTTTTAGATCACTATAGCAGTGTCAGGTATAGGTTCTATTTCTTTGAGTGGGTCTTAAACTCAATCAAAACATGACTGGTTATTCTCATTGATATTTTGTCAATATTGTACCTGTATATCTTGCAAGTGAGTTGCTATTGTAGGTTACAGAGTTTGTAGCTGTGTGAGATTGAAGATTACTTTTCTTCTCTGGTAGGATGCAAATGCCTTTTGGTACTATAAATGTTAGTCAGTAGGGGTGAAACTTTTTGTTGAATACCAACTTGATTTCTCCTTGTTTGATGACATAAGTAAGTTGTATCTTCACCAACTGGACATTATCATTAAGTTATGGAGAGTAACCAATAACCATGAAAATAGCCTGTGATATTGGTGGGAGAGGGTCTATGAGTCCCTTTTCTCCAATGATTCAATGATATCTAACACATCCCTGAAAATTGGTCATTTGACTTGGTGGCATGATCAATAAGAATGGTGACACGTTCCTCCCAATCTTAGCAGCAAAGAATTCTTCATATCATACACTGCAAGATTTTTGCACATTTTGCATCATTGTACCCTAGTCTTTACTTGTTGATAGTTTTGATGTGTATACATCTTGAATTTTGTCAATTTCTGTATCTATTCATGGATCAATTTTCTTTATTTTGTTTATGTGATAGATTACATTGCTTAATATTTAAAACATTGAAACGACCTTATACTCTCAAATAAACCCTGCTTAGTTGTAACACAAATTTGCACACTTTTGGCTGAATTTTAGTCGTAATATTATGCTAAGGATCGGTGAATATGCATATGATACATTGGTATTTACTTTTTGTACTACCTTAATCTGGCTTCATAATTGGAATAGCATTATTTTCATAATACTGGGAAATGTTCTCTTTTTTCTAGTGATCATGTAAACCTCATGTTAATTATCCAGAATTCTCCAGTAATAATTATGCAAAATTTTCCAGTAAAGCCATTTGGTCCTAAACATTTCTCTCTCGAGAATTTTTAATTCAAGTTCCTTAACAGTTACAAGATAAATGTGGAAATGTATACTTTCCCAGAAAGTTGACCTTTTTATTTGGAGGTGCAGGATTTATGTATGAACAGCCATTCATGGCATTCCCTCATATATTGGTTTTCTATGACATTAAAGGAAATTACCAAAATTCTACAGATTTTGAACAACAGTGGCTCATTTCCCCAGTATGACTTGGCCCCATTCAATCTGTTGTCAGTGTCATACTCTCTCCAAGATGCCTAGGGAAGGATCAAATCTCAGTCTTTTCCAACTTCCCATGATGTTCCTTGACTCATTACTATGTCACTGTGCCCTTTCTATAGGCACCTTGCAGTCTATCTTTTATGTATGTCTTACTCTCCTGTGACAAGGCAATATGTAGGATGATCTTTCTATTTGAGAATTCTTATATTAATTCTATCTGCCAAGATACATTCTCCAGTATGGGAACATTCACAGGTAAATGGTAACATCCCAATGACTGGTCGAATGGTGACCACAACTTAGTCTATTGCATGCTGTTTGTTTCTGGCTCTTCACTTCTCCCTATACTCCTTGCTTTCTTTCTTCCATCAGTCTTACTGAGAGCTGTTACTTCATTCTTGTTTTCAAAGAATCAGCTCTTTGTTGAACTTGCCTATTCTGTTTCTCAGAATTTCATTTAGTTTTCCTCTTTATTTCTTCTATGTTACTTGCTCTGGGTTTCTTCTTACCTTATTTTTGGTTCTTTTTAAACTGAGGTTGTCTTCTAAATGTTACATAAAACATATTTGTATCTGCTAATAAGACAACATAAGATTCTTTCAATTCAAGTATACATCTTATGATGTTTAAATCAGGTAAAAACTTACATATTCCTTTCTTCTGTCTTTTAAAAATATATAATACATTACTGTTATTTGCAGTCACTTTGTTGTGGAATAGCACACCAGATCTACTCCTATCAAACTGTAGCTCAGTTCCCTTTCATCAATGTTTTCTTGACCCTCCCTTGCCACTACTCTCCACAGGCTTCAGTAACCACCGTTCATCCCTCACTTACGTGATTGACTTTCTTACATTCCTCATAAAAGAGAGATAATGCCCTTCTTGACTCTCCGAGTCTGACTTACTTCACCCAACATTATTTGACTCCATTCATTTTTCTAGGGTCTATTAGGTTGAAGATTGTGTTATTGATTAATGATATTTTCCATTTTCTACTATGTGCATCTAGTTTCACAAATTATCCTCTCACTAGACATCCTCTGTATCCCAAAAATTTATTGCATAGTGTTTATATTCAATATCTCACATACTTTTGATTTTCTTTTGAGACTTTATCTTTGATTCCTTGTTTATTTAGAAGTATCTTAAGATATTCTGCCTGATGCCCTGATAAAAATGTTTAGCTTGACACCATTGTCTTTAGAAAACATACCCAGAATTATGACATTATTTTACAGTTGTTCAGGTGTGTCTTATGGTCTTTATGTTCTACTTTGGTGTAGTTACTGGATAAGAATGTATATTCTGTTCTTTGGTAGGGTATGCTAGATTTTCAAGTAAATGCTATTGTTAATATTTTTATTTCTTCTATAATTAAGTTGGTTTTCTGAGTATTTTACCAACAGTTGAGAAAGGGGCATTAAGCCTATATAAGTGGAGATTTATGTTTCATGTCAGTTTTATGCACTGTGTCTCACAGTGCAACTCCATTTTTTGGCCACACATATTTAAGATTGAGATGTCATCTAGATTGCTGAGAACTGAAAGACCCCCAGAGTGGGGAGACCCTCACTCAAGTCTTGGGATAAGCCGATGCCCCAATAATTCAAGAGAGACCATTTTGATGCAAGCACCTGAGGTTTATTAGGGGAACCAGTGCATTGGGGCTGAGCTCGTAACCCTCACAGGAGCAGAGGAGTTTAACCCCCAGTAGTTGTAGTTGGTGGGGGTTTAAAAGAGAAAAACCATAGAGAATTGGGGAGTTAGGCAAACACCATAAAGGATGGGGAAGTTAGGTGAACACCATAAAGGATGGGGAAGTTAAGTGATAGCTCATGACTTAAAGGGAAAGTTATAGTTTATCTCAAGCAAACATTCTTTGGGCTTTGTACAGTTAAACATTGAGCAGGAATGTGGTGAGCTAGTTCCTGGATCAAGGAGTGTTATCTTTTAAGATTATCTTGAAGTCGCCGGTTTTTCAGGAGAGGGCAGAAGAACAAGTTACTCTGTGCTGGGCAAGTTGCTAGGGGTCTAAAAATGTTGACTTGGGGTCTCTCAAGAACCATCTTATTTTTTAATGCCCCTTTTTTATCTCTGACTTTCCTCGTTCTCCTCTTCCACATCTTAACTCCCTCTCCACTCTAGTTTTCTTCTTCCCACTTCATCTGATACAACATATATAATATCCCAAGACATATTCTCTGCATGTCACCTTGTGTGTCATTTCTTTAAAAGAACAAGCAGGACCATTTTGGTCTTTACTCCTTCATAAACCTGCTTCCATGAAAACTGACATTTTCATGGGAAACACTCTTACTCCCCAGTGACAAAGACAGTCTGCTTGTTAGGAGACTTCAATGACCTTGTTGTCTCCTCATCAGTCCCCTTGCCTTTCTGTGTCTGCATCTGCCTCTTTTTATCTAACTCCAAAGAATTACAAGCAAGCCACAGAACATATATATTAACCCTCTGACCCTAGTGTGGAAAGAGGATCAAAATGGGCAATTAATTCTAGTGAGGAGTCACTCCATGGAAAGTCAGGTAGGAGGGCAAAGCAACTGAATATGAGGGCAGAGGGGTTGGAGGGAAAGGAAGGGTCACAGGTGACAGATGACAAACTCTACGAAGGTGGCTCAAGGACCAGAAAAACTACTTCAATTCATGCTAGAGGTCATTTCATTTCTAAAGTAACACATTTTTACATTTTATATTGACTTGAACATGGACAATATTTGTAAAGACAAATTTCAAGAGAGCCTGATTTAATTGTTCAACAGATTAGGCCAGTCTCCAAAATGTCATTTGCTTCGCTGTTCTGCCAACTGGACCCAGTTTTATTCTCAGTAGACTTTAATATCAGGGCCTTGGAATGCTGACACCTCCTAAAATCTGAAGAGTCTCAGAAGGGATTTTCTCCTTGACACTTGAACTTCACCAGTGAGCCTGCCTCTCTGTAGTTCTCAAACATAGGCATCATGTATGGTATTTGCTTTTCTGCTTCTGGTAGCCTCTGTTCTGTGAAAATCAAACAAACAAACAATTAAAGGTTTGAACTGAATTTTAACAGCATTTCCAAAGAAATCTTTTGATATTTATTTGATTCTGTTTATAGTAGAGGATGCTTTCCCCCTTCTTCTGTTTAGTTTCTGGGTTATCTCAGATTTAAATATCAGAACAGGGAATTAATTGTCACCCTGTGTCACAACCCCCAAATCCTTTGTCATTCTGTCCTTCTGCATTGGAAGGAGCTAAGCCCAGGAAGCAGATATGACCTTCAGACCCTGTCATGGCTGTGATACATCAGGCTGAAAATACTGTCCGTAAGAGGTAGTATTCTTCTCATGATAAATCTGTTACAGAAGAAGGATGAGGGTGGAGTCTCATGTGTTATCTATGAAGTGTGGTACATGTTTAAGGAATATTATTAGGAGGCAAAGTCTTATCCTTATTATGGAGATCATTGTCATCAAATAGTCTAAGTTGCTGGAGTGGCAGGTTTGATTTTTAGTATCCTCTGTGTGTATGTTTGGGTGTGGTGGTGATTTCATTGTTTTTGTTGTTTTATTTTCTGATATAGTATTTTACGTATTTAAAACTCAACTTGCATTCCTGATAGTCCTGCCTCAGCCTCCTAAGTGCATGGACATAGATCTGCAACATCATGCCTGACTTACAAACATGAATTTTAGCTGCAGCACCATTGATAGGATTGCTTAGATCCTGAGAGCTTATAGTATCAGCATGATAGTTAAATTAAATTCAAGCACATTATAAATAAACAAAAGACTGAACTTGAGGACAATATACTCAAACAACATACGCTTTTTGCAAACTTGATAAAATATTCTGAATCACACAAAATAAAAGACCACAATGCTAAATAAGCAAGGGAGATTTGAACTAAATCTGCAGGTCTTTAAACTCTGTAGGTTTCCACACCCAATTGGCCATTTCAGGAAAACACATGGAAGACTCTTATTGTTTCTGGCTTTGATTTTAAGCACTTTAAAAATTTGAAAACCATTTTTGAGGCAACTTGCCAAGTCATAATAGCCTTAAGCAAACTTCAGACCAGGATCAGGAACTAAGACTCCCAGAATCCAGGGAGTGACTAAAGTTGCTCAAGTCACAATCAGTGAAGCATCCTTCAGGACAATCAACTGAAAAGGCTTGGAGCCTGAGGGGTAGCCAAAACTCTGCTGAGAAGATTGTCAGCTGTGTGACCTGAGGCCATTAATCCGTTTCTTAATCTAGAAAATGGGAAAAGTATTCTACACCAGCACCCCTCTCCTTTCATTCCAAATGCTTCTTCACAAAGCGACTTTATCTTCCCGTCAACAGGGGGTGACACATACAATTCAACCTAGTTTCGTTGTTGTTTGTTGTTTTCTGAATTGCTTTGTCTCATATGTGACAGAAGTGGTTTTGTCTGACTTTGGAGACAAGGCTTTCAGTAACCTTGTGATTTCTGTCATTTGCACTACTGGAACATTATTTTGAGGTCAGTCCTAAGGAACATTTTTGGAAGAAAAGTGAATGACCAGGCAGAACCAGCTTCTAGCCTGTCTTCTGTCTCTTGCCACAGAAGAACTGAAGAATAATGAAAAACAATCTACCCTACTTACTTTAATCCACTAAATTAGGGAGGGTGATTTCCTAAATTAAAATGGTTGTTTAGTAAAGTTTGCGATTTTATTGCCCAGTAAGCTGGAATAAAGATTGGCTGAACTTAGTAAACAGGCTTATGCAACCTCAGAACTTTTAATGGGCTAATGTAATCTTAGCACTATGAAGTATAATATATTTATGCATCATATCTACCAGATATATCACCTCACAGAATATCACTTTCTACAGAGACGTATGTAATAACTTGTAAGTCTCAATTTGAGAAAGGATATCATAGTTGTGGTAATTCAAATGTAATTGACCCCCATAATCTTATAGGGTGTGGCACAATAAGGAGGTATTGATTTATTGGAGTGGGTATGGCCTTTTTGGAAGTAGTTTGCCACTGTGGTGGTGGCTTTGAGGTTTCCTATGCTCAGGATACTGCCGAATTTGTCAGTAAACTTCCTGTTGCCTGCAAGATGTAGAATTTCAGCTATTCCTCCAGCATTATGTCTGCCTGCATGCCATCATACTTGCCCTCAAGACAATGGACTGAACCTCTGAAACCATAAGTGAACCCCCACATTTAAATGTTTTCCCTTTATAAAAGTTGCTATAATCTTGGTGTCTTTTCACAGCAATAGTAACCCTAAGTAAGACAGAAATTGGTACCAAGGACTGGGGTATAGCTGTATATTCCAGGAGGCAACGTGTCACTGCAGGGGCAGACTTTGAGGTTTCCTATGCTCAGGATGTCACCAGGTTTGTCAGTCAACTTCCTGTTGCTTGCAAGATGTAGCACTGTCAGCTTTTCCTCCAGCACCACATCTGCCTGCATGCTGCCATGCTCCCTGCCATAATGATAATGAACTCAACCTCTGGAAGCATAAGTGAGCCTCCTCAGTTAAATGTTTTCCTTTATAGAAGGTGTCACAGTCATGGTGCCTCTTCACAACAACAGTAACCCTAATTAATACCAAAATTCCTTCCAATTCTAACATGCTAAAAATCTACAAGTAGATTTGATCACTTTTTCTTTTGCTTATCTTGATGAAAACTATTATAAGTTGGTTGCTATGAATTTCATTATTTACTTCCACTTAAAATATCTTTAATGAATTAAGAGAAGAAGGCAGTATCAGAATTGTTAATGAGCAATTAAATAGAAATTAAGGCACTACTAACCACAGCTTTCTGGTGGGGACTTGGCTGTCAGGTGTCCTGGGAGCCTGATGGATGTAGAAGCATAAGATGCTGTCACAATGATGAAACAAGCATCGTGCTTGCTAATAGATTTATCTATTTCTCCTTGGCAGATTGTAATAGGATATGGAATTGCCCTGCTGGTCTGGATTCCTAGAGAAGCACCTCATAAAAGAATATGGTTAGAGCACAAAGAATCATCTCTTCTGTCTGTACTATACAGAATGGCCACATCAACAAAGAAAGTGTGTGTGTGTGTGTGTGTGTGTGTGTGTGTGTGTGTGTGTGTGTGTGTGCGTGTAGGGGATAAGTATGCATGTATTCATATGTTATGGTGAACCTCTGCATTTTTTGTGTGTTCATGTGATTTTATATGTGAAAACAAAGGAAGTGCACATACATATATTTGACACTATGTTTGAAGGACAATATACAGGGTGACAGGAATAAGCCATATCAGAGAACACTGATGGCATTGGTAAAATGTCTCAGGAGGTAAAGGCACTTGGAGCCAATCATGATCATCTGAGTTTATTTCCTGTGACCCACATGTTACAAGAAAAAAAGTCCCATGTTATCATCTGGTATTCATATTCACACTGTAGTATATACATATACAAATAAATAAATGAATGGTTAAATAAAATAAATGTAATAAAACTGATTTCTCATAGTTTACTGATTTTAGAACTTTTGCAGAAGGAAAATTTTCCTTTTGCCTGCAGATGAGAGAGCTGCTACCCTTCCTTAAGGAGCCCAACCATCTTCTCTGTGGGATAGAGCATTGAAGAGAAGTCAATGGAGGCCAGTTGTTATGAGTCTAATATATTTTAATACACCCCTGCAAACTCATCACTCAGGAAACTGAGACAGGAAGATACAGAGTTGGAGGTCAGTGTGTTCTATACAATTAAACACTATATAAAAAGGAAAGAAAGGAAAAAGGAAGGAAGGGAGGCAGGGAGGGAGGGAGGGAAGAAAGAAAGAAGGAAGGAAGGAAGGAAGGAAGGAAGGAAGGAAGGAAGGAAGGAAGGAAGGAAGGAGAAAATTTTCCAGCCCTTGCTAATCTTTCAGGAGACCTAGGTTCAATTTCCAGTAGCCACATAGTAACTCACAACCATCTGCCACTCCATTTCAAGGGGGTCTGATACCCTCTTCTGAGTTTAAGGCATATATATATATTAGACTAATTTGAGGAAATCTTTACACAGGAGAGAAGTAAGGGAGGGAGTGGAGTGATGGAGGAAGAAAGGAGTAAGGAAGGAAGACTCACTAAGGAATTATTAATGTAAGCTTTCTACTCAAATGAAGAAAATCAAACAACTGATCAACTCCTGTCTAAAATGTCTTTTGTTTGTTTTAGCTCCTAATTGTTTATTAAAAGATTTAAATTTTAATTGATAGAGTAGCTATGCATGTTTATGGGCTGTCTTGTGGTAATTATGTGCAAATACATGAAAATTAACATACATATCAACCCAAACATTGGTTATGGAATTACTTGTCAGTTACAGTTATTGTTACTCACACTTATCCTCCTGTGTACTTGAGAATTTGGAGCAGCTGCTTTCCCCCCAACTGCAGACTTCCTCTTTCCTCAGCCATACACCTCATTCATGCCCTTGATCCTTCCCATGCTCTAGTAACATTGTGCATCCTACATCTATGAACTCAACTTTTTGGTTCCTACATGTAAATAAGACTGTAAAAATACATAGTATTTAAGCTACTTTCCTCTACCAAACAGATGCCACCTAACAACATGCTTTCCTGGTCTATCCATGTTATTGAAAATGACAGAATTTCTTTGCTTTGCAGCCAAATATAGTTTCGTTACATATATATCCCACATTTTCACTTTTGCTGGTTGTATATCATTATTATTTTGTGACTAGAATTGTAATAAAAACAAGCAAGTGCTCATGGATCTTTGAAATACTGATTAACTATAGTCTAGGACATAGACCCAGTAATAGAATTTCTGGATCACATGGTAATTCTATTTCTAGTTTTGTGAAGAATTTTCACACTGTTTACTATATCTTTATATTAATTTACACTCTCACTAGCAATATACGAAAATTTTCCTTTAAATATTAGCCAGCATATACTTTTGACATTTCTAATGAGAGTGAGATGAAGTTGTAGTTTTGTTTTACATTTATGTGGTGATATTTTTATATCAATCACTCTTTATATAATATTGACTCATATATTTTCATTTCATAAATCCATATCTGGTCAATGTTTCACTTCAAAAATTCTATGTTCATGAGAATTTCATACATATATATGAAATTATGCATATATATATTAAATACAATCATATCCACCTTCAATTTCTCCACTCCAGTACCTCTCATATCCCTTAATATATCCCTCTCCAATCTGCATACCTTCTCTTTTTACTCATGTTTTTTATTTATGTGTATGTGAGTGTTCATGGAGGCTAAAAGAGAATATTGGATCTCCTGGATCTCGAGGTGCAGGCAGTTTTGAACTGTCAAATGTGATAACTGTGAAGTAAACTGTGATCCTCTACAGGAACAACAAATGCTCTTGACTACTGAGCATTCACAACCTACCCTGCTTTGCTTTGTTCTCAGTGATGATAACGCCACAGTGGGGGGTGGGCCCTGGAGAGTACCTTCACATCTATGCTTAGGATTTTGGTTGATTTAGTCTCTTGCAGGTCTTGTGTTCCTGTATAAACTATAGTTCCTGTGAGTTCATGAGGACAATAACTATGTCATGTAGAAAACAGAGCACTTCACAGTACTCCTTCCCATCTTCTGGTTCTTAAATTCTTTCAGCCTCCTCTTCTGAGATGTTCTCTGAACCTTGTGATTTGTATGTGTTGTTGGGGTGGGGTGGTTTAAGACTGACCACCCAATCTCTTATTCTCAGGGCTTGCATTTAGCGTAATTTTGGTTTCCTCTTTTGTGATTCCTAGCTAAAGGAGTTATTTGTCTATGCAACAAGATGTTGAAGATTACAATAAATAAGCATTTATGCAGGTTTAATGAGAAGAGTAAGCTCCTTAATTTTCCCTCTACTTAATTAACATTTTCACCAGACAAATTATCCTTTTGGTTTAATAAGTCAATCTAATCTAAATTGATTCAAATGTCTGTCATTCAGTAATTCCTAATCACTTAGAAATAGTGTATTTAGCAGCATTTACTGAATAACATTGAATATTATATTCACATTTAATATATAGTGTATTAATTTTATAAGTGTTATAAATAAATAATGGTCCTAGATTCCATGTGCCTCAAAACAACACTACCCTAGCCATCTTCAGAAGAGTATTGCACCGTTAGCCCATGCTTACAATTGTAGTTCCCAGAAAACAGATGCAGGAAAATCAAGAGGTCAACATCAGCCCAAACTACAACAACATAAATATAGCCTATGTCTAAAAAGAGTACACTCCCCTAAAATAAATAAAGAAGAATTTTTCAAATGTCCAATATCATAATTCAGAATCCACTTGGGGTAAGTAGATGTGTAAGGTGGGATATATTTTCAGTTCCCAGAATATGGTAGGGAAGTCTAGATTCTATGACAAAATTTTCAAGGACATTTTTGATAAAAATGATTGACACATAACATATACACATAAAAGTGAAGTGAATGGGACTATCTAATATGAATGATTCCTTCAATTATTTCTTCAAAGTCAACTTCCAGAAAGGGGAAGAGGAAGCAATCTGCTCTAAGAATCATGTCTATGGCCCCAAGAACAGTATGTTTCTTTCTTTAACAGCTGGGCTAGGTCATGACAATTGATGAAAATTATACCATCATAACCAAAACACAGTCCATAAGCTCATTTCTTCTGGCTCATAGTGTCCATGACTTTCCATGGGGCAAAAGCCAGACACAGAGATTTAGGTAATGCAGAACAGAAAATGTTTAGTTTAACTTGAGGGTTTTGAACATATTAAGTAGGCAAGTGTTAAGTAAGCTAAAAATTGTTTCAAATCACAAGAAGGATATAAAATAATTCACTTCTGCGAAAAGTGTGAAATTAGCCCTTGATGGTGTTTTTCCCTTTCAGGACAGTGGGATAACAAAATTAGTATTGACTTTCCTTGTTTCTTTGTTAAGAAATAGACTGCATGAAGTCAAACCGAGAGAAGGTCTTCTTAGGTCAACATCAAAGAGGAAAGAAAGTTACAGTGTGTATCAAACACCTATTTCTTTGCAATTGCTGTGATGGGACCTTCACACACATTATCTTATTTGATGGTCAAATAGTGTTAGGTGATAGATATGATCATCTCTATTTTAAAATTGAAATTCAAAGGTGTTAAGAAGCCTTCATCAGGTGTTACAGTTGATCTTAGACAAAACCTGAAACCATTAAAAAGTATATTCTTTTCACCCATTATGTGTCTTGCTAACTCAGGTTGAGATTCTTACATTCAAATAGTTGTTTTATAAAGTAGGACTCTCTGCCAAATATGTGCATACACACACACTCCTACCCTACAAAAGTGTAGAAAACTGAAGTAAATTAAATTATGAACTTGAGACTATAGTGTTAGTCAAACAGGGTAGTTCTGCAAGGTATGAAGCTTTCTGAGGAAAATTAAAAAGACATAGACAGAAACAGACTAGAAAACCCTTCCTTGCATGGTCACTTCCAAACAAAAAGAACCCATGCAAGTTTTCTGTCTCACTACCAAGAGTAAGGGAGAAACTAAGAAGGGACTTGAAGAAAGGAAATCCACTTCAGGCCTTCTGAAGTCTTTCTAAAATGTAGGTCTTAGGCAAATATCATAGCTTCTTGCTTAGTCTATGTGAAGGTCAACCACATCTGCAATTTAGGCACCAGGGGAGCCTTTGAAACGAGGTTCTCTGGGAGGAATCAGGAGTGTATCTCAGGAATTCTCTCTATGATACATAAATCCCGGTTAGCATCGTTCTTCCATGTGGAAATCACCAGGACACAGATTAAATACTCAGACCTCTGGATTATAGTGTCACATGTCCCTGAATAGTTATGATCCTGATTTA